ACTACTACTATATATATATATATATATATATAAGCTCTACCAATAAAGTTTAGAAACATTCCATCAGTATATTGTCTATATTTTAGTATTGCTTCTGAGTGCCACCAAAACAACTTTACAGTATGCTGTAGAGAACATGACTTGTAATGTAAAAGTCTAGAGAACATGACTATCGATATGATTATGCGAAAAATCACAGGTGAAATGACAAAAGTATTTTTCAATATTAATATTATTGCAATTATTTTAGTTATGTATCTAATTCTGAAAATTTTTAGAGACAGAAACTGAAAAGGAAGTGTTTTTTTAAAAATAAAAAAAAATGTTACAGTATCTTTCGTTTCGGGACAACCAGCTGTCTAGACTGCTTCGTGCTCACTGCCATTGTGTAATATTCATATTTCCCAAATTTTTAGTTTTTCTAAAAATCGAATTCAAAACATACTAAATCGGTCGGGGTCGTGTGCAAATTCAGCACGAGGTATTACTTTTTTTATAACAGGGTCTAGTCACGTTTGTCACGGAAACTAGGCACTGTTTCATGGACTGTTTGTGTCGTGTCCTACTTTGTCTATCTGTCCCACGACTGTTGTGTAGCGAATACTTGCAGATTCGTGTGATCCAGTTCTCTGATTGGTCAGCTACATAGAGAAGGTGAAATGTAAACGAAGCTTTGGAGTTTTTAAACGTATTCGCTTGTGACGTAGAAAGAGTCAAGTTTTGCTGCGAAGTCCCGTAGCTGTTGTTTTGACTTTCTGATCATGCATATTTTACCTTAATTTCAACTAAGACACATTTGCATTTCCATTAGTCTACAGTTCTCCTTTACGAACTTTTTTGTTTAAATGCAGCTTGTTTTTATTCAGTCCAATAATGCTATCATTTCCTACAACAATGATTAGCCAGCTTTTAATTATTATTATTCATTACATAATGTGTTCATTTTGAGTCAGCTTTACACATTGTCTTATCTGCTTCATTCCAACTATAACAAATCACTATAACTGTCATCTCCTCCATACCAAGTCTTTATATTTACACTAATTATTACATTATTACTATTAGACCTCGATCTTTACTGGTGAAAAAGTAGGCTACTGTTAATAATATGTAGTTATGAAATAGAATACAGTCGAAAGGTCAAGATCCTAAATATTAATAGTGTTACGTCTCTGTTCGTTAATTTTCCGTAAATTCGTTCCGACGAAACTTTAGCAACACAAGTCCTTTCTTAAATAAAACTGTTTTATTCTTTCTGAATATAACTTTGCGATAC